CCGATAACAGCGATTCTCCGTCTCTGACCGGGAGGTATCACATCTACAGACATTAGCCCCAAATGCTAGCTCGCATTATTAATTAATAGTAAGTCGCTACATCAAGCTTTTGAGGAAGCTAGGAAAAGAAAATAGAGACTCCCTCCTAAGAAAGGATCTGCTAGCCTTTCTTTCCTGTCCTGTCATCCGGCAAAACATTAGGTTTAGCTTATATAAATGTGTTGGTTGGAGCAATGGGATTTGATTCCCCTGATCTACGATCACCCTCTTCAATCTATATTCGACAGCTTGAAGAGGGCTTGCTTCTGGCTAAAGATAAATTATCTCATTGAAGAAGGCATCGCCTGCCCAATGACAAGCAAAAGACGAAGAAGGAACTTACTAGACCTCCTTGCGCCCATAGCTTGACCTCAGCCTTGAACTACCTGCACGGAAGCCTTCCCTTCCTGGCACGCAGACAGACCATCTTTAGTGAAGTCCCTCCTTCCCTTAAAGCATCCATTTCGTCAAAGAAGGACGGAGCAGGCACACTTACTACTCTGATTGGGTGTGGACTGGGGAAAAAAAGTAGCAGCTAAAGGAAAGCTATAAAAAAGGTATTGGCGAAGAAATTTCTAAAAATAGAAAGGAAAGAGGCACCACTCGCGAATCCTATCTTTCTTGGTTTCGCTACCTGTGATCAAAACAATTAACGTATTAGATCTATCCATATTTTGGTCCAGTCAAGAAGGAAGATAGGAAGAGGCATCTGTCTATCTATCCTTTCAGTACACATTACAGGTTCAAGTCCTTTATTTATCTGTCTTAGTTGTTCGTGGTCAGAAGGTTGAGCATAGAATGGCAGTTTCACGTACTCCTCTGTCTTTTTCCTATCTTCTCTCGGAATTAGGTGTAGCTATATCATAAGCTCGTGTTTTACAGATATTTACTTTGATTTATCTTCCATGGCTAATGTAAGGAAATGAGACGACTCTTTCTTGAACTATATAATAAAAATATCTTCCCCTCCACACCAATCACGAGTTTTTCTCCATTCCTCTCGTATATCATCGTAACGCCCTTAATACTAGGTTTTGAAAAAGACTTTTCATGTCATTCCCATTTAGGTCCGATTCGGATCCCTTCGTTGTTTTCTTTTCCTCCCGCACCTTTTCCTCGAAATGATAAAGAAGATGGTACACTCGAATTTTATTATTTAAGTGCTTTTTGCTTGCCAAAGATCCTAATTCTACAATTGGTAGGTCACCAGGTTATTCAAATAAGTTGTGTTTTATGTGGTTTTCCCATGTTACAACTTCCGTACCAATTCGGTCGATCCAGAATGGATCGGTTAAACATTATATTAGGGAGCCTGGTCTTTACTCTTCTGTGTGGTATTCATTCTCATTTGGCTCTTGGAATCACATCCAGCAGTGGTTGGAACAGCTCGCAAAATCCAAACACTTCACCTACTTCATTGCCCCCAACCGTATCTCGTACCTCTATTGAAACAGAATGGTTTCATGTTCTTTCATCGATTGGTTATTCCTCTCCGTTCGTATCTCTTTTTCCAATTGCGATGTCAATGAGTTTACAAGATTGAATGGCGCTGGGCCCAGAGTTGGTGAATTACTACTTCAAAAATGAAATGAGAGGCCATTCAAGCTCCGACACTGTATGCATACCAGCACCATGGATATTTTAATAAATCTATTGAGTAAGGGGGCTGAAATTAAGTGCGACCAGATCTTTGGCCTAACAGACCAAACAAATCTTGCCCAACTACAATCTTTCAAAGCATGGCAAAACATCCTCCCCATATGTCCCACAAATAGGGAAATTTGTGATCCCTCTTTAAAATTTCGCCAGGTTCGTTAATAAGCGATCCCTTCTCGCCAGCTATAGGAAATGCTTAACACGATTAGAAACTCAAAAAAAAAGTAATAGAAGTCTAGCCGGTCGAGTACCACATAAGGAGACAATCCTATCAAAGAGAATAATCCAATGACTTCCCCTTTTTTTTGCTTATTCAGGCCTCTTTCGGTTGCTATCTAGCTTTACCGAATGAAGTTAGTCAGCTTCCTTTTCCGCTTTAAGACAAGTAGCTAAGTCGTCTTAATCCAGCGACGAAAACTCTTGCACTAGGAGAAAGGCTCAATCCCCTCGCTTTGTCGCCCTTATCTCGTTAGTCGTTGCTTCTTCCCTCGCCTAAACCTAAACTAGTCCTACTCCTACAGCTTGCGCCGAAGATTCACTACCAGCTCTTTTACCGCCCGTAGTTGACTGATTGGAGTCAGGAACTAGTTTTTTGAATAGAGCCCTTTCTTTTGACTTTACTTGCCCAAAATAAATTATATTCCTTGACACTATATATAGTTGGCTGAAACCGGAAAGGCCTTCAAATAATCCCGTACTCCTGGCTCTAGCCCGCTTCACTGCATGAAACAAACGGTTAGGTTAGACCTCTGTCTGGCATTTCTTCCCTAGAGACCTGTCCCCCCAACATTTCCTTTTGGTCTTAAGAGATAGACTTGGCTCTCTTATCTTTCAATCTGGACTTTCATGTGTTCTGCATATGACTATTTCGAGTGATTGCTGCTATCTGGCTTGAGTTAGACAAGCAGAGAAGGATCTTATGCCACCGGTGATCGGCCTGTCTATCTAGTATCTAGTACTAGGACTAGTAGAGTAGAGTAGAGGCACTACCGGGCGGGGCTTCCTCGATCACAGCTTCTCGCTTAGCTAACTGCGAAATAAGGATGCAAATCAACTCCTTATATAGAATAAGATCGACACATTCAATGAAGCAGCCAGTCCGGCAGACAAGCTACTTTCTGATTCTAGGACTGGCGGATCCTCTATCTATTAGCATACTCGTACCGACAGTTAGACTAGCACTCTCTCCTGCAGTAACCGAGAGTTGACTATCTACCTGATTCAGTCTACTGGTAGTGAGTACCAGACTATGAGATAGCCTGGCCAGTGCATCCAATCTGATACCAGGAAGGAAGCTTATTGATTGTATCACCGTCTGCTTTCCTTAAGATCTACAGAATACGTTATAGATGATCCTGCCAACCGTTCCACCGGAGCGGTTTGGTTTAAAGTCCCATCCATAGGGAGTGTCGACAGAACCGTCATAAACCACTTATTAAGGGGATGTAAAACACGCGGGATAACCCAGTTACCTATGGCAAATATCCTACGCCCTCTATAGACTGACCTAGTCGGCCGAGGCTGGGCATAACCTCAGTAAACTCTGGACAAGGATGTCCGACTCTAACAGCTTCCTCAAATGCAGAACAACCTATCTGCGAGATGAGTTCGTTGTTAGGGTCAAAACAATACCTCGTCCAAGGAAACCACAACGCGCCTAACCAATTAGCTTGTTGACGCCCACGGAACTTATTCCGAGACTCAGCAAGTTGAAATTTGAATGGATTTCAAAGGGGAAGGCTCGGAAGACACATTGAACTCCTTTCTTACAACGAGAGCCCTTCAATCGGATAGGCTTCATCTTAGATGGTGTGTCCTTCCAGTTCGGATCCCAAGTCATTCCTTGTAGCAAAGGAATACTAGAGATAGACGGAACATACCTTTGCAGTAATTCTTTAAAAAAAAAGAATTCGCAGCATCGGTAGCCAAGGCCTTCACATTAGAAGGGGGAGTAGAGATAGAAGAGAAAGTTGATCTATCCACTTTCTTAGCTAATTAAAAAAGATTTTCTATAGTAAAGAAAGATACAACTTGACTACTATATTTGCTCGATCATCACGCCTACGGATCACCTTACGGTGAAATGGGGGAATGATCCTTGGGAGTCCCGTCCTCGTGAGAGAGATGGGAATAGATAGTTCGGTCAACCTATTAGGGTGAGTAGAAGAAGAATAGTGCATAAAGCATGTTGATGCTTGTTTATAATAAAGTGCAACATGCAGCCACCCTGATCGACGGCCTAACTTTACTACCAGTTTAACCAGGTGATGAACACCAAGACAGATTTCTATCGTTAACCCACCGGTGACCACCAAAGGAATCTTCAAAAGAACCTTAGTTTAGTAGTAGGGTCTTTTCCAAAATTCCCTTGCTTTTCAGTAACGCTCGAAATCACTGATGTCGAGTTCAATTAGAGTAGCTTACGGACTTGGAACCTCTGGCTGAAAAGATTGAATTACTTCAAAGGGAGGGGTTTCTCGGCGAATTCTGGGTATTCAATCTCTTTTTTCAGACTTTGCCAGGCTCTTCCCTTTCCTTTGAAAAATTGCCTCCAACAAGCTCTTGAAAGTCTTTGACTAAGCCTCTTTCCCGCTCTACTGGAAACTTTCCAATATGCTTCGAGTGCCTTAAATATAAATAAAAGATAAGAGGCAGAGGAAATATTGATTTTGATGGAAGCCAATTCAACCGCTTCGCCCCTATTCATTCTCTAAAGTAAAGGTATCGACAAAAAGAAGTCCCTAGCTTCAGAAGTGGCAGCAGTGCTCTCGTATATAAGAGAAAGGCTGCTTTTAGGAGTGATCCTTCCCTCTAACCGCTAACTCGAAATAAAATAAGCTAAGAGAGATGTGGCAAAGAAGGAATTTCAAGAGGTGCGTCGAGAAGTTCCATACCTTCTTGATCGAGTCCATAGCCTTGCTTGTACTTACTTAAGTAAATATTGGCTTGGTGTTAAGTGTATAAAAAATAAAATATTTCAAATCATCCCTGCTCCTCGAAGTCTTTCTTCGACGTCAGAGAGTTTGATCGAGAAAGCTTGGGTGGACCCCCAACCATTAGCGCATTCTACGATTAAGATGACTAATTGGCTGGAGTAGCAGAGGAAGAAAGGTGAATCCTCTCATGATGCGTGGAAAGTAGGGGAAGAGTCTGATGAAAAACCGTCTGCGATAGATCACGTCGAACTGAAGCACTTAATAAAGAAGCTGATAACTTTTGGTTGATTTGATGCTCATTCTGACACGGTTCATATAAAGTCACAGCACAGACATAACCTGGTTGTTGCTACTAGTCAGGCTCATCAAATGCAAACACGGCTCTTGTTGGCCTTGGCCCGGCCGTCAACTGCTTCAACTGCAGATGCGGCTGACCTAGATCTACATGTCCCATCAATAGCGAAGGAAGTGGCTAGAATACTTACTTCCAAAGATTACTACATAATGAGTTCTCTTTTTAATAGAATACCTTTCTACTCGGAAAGAAATGCTATGATACGATTAGCTCTAAGTACCTAAGTCCATAGATCAATCGCGAGTTGTGGCTTGCTTTGTTAGCATCTACGTAACGGCCTTGTTTGTTAAAGCGTTCTAACGAGATATTTTGCACATGGTCTCTACTGACACACACCTCTCCCCTGTAAATCCTCCTTATAACCTAACGGAAAGCCAACCTGAGTTAAACCTGATGTCAAAGACTAGCCGCTTAGACGGGTATAAGTACTAAAATACCATACATATGTAATGGACTACTTTTCATACTACTATCCTTCCTCGCTATGATAATAGGACTCTGTCAGCTTCCGCTGCTATGACGATATCGCTATTGATCGCGTAGCCATGACATACTCCTATCTTCTTGAGAGCTAGGGATATGGAAAAAGATCTGTAAATTCCCCCGCTTTCAGAGATTCCAACTCCTAAAGGAAGAAGTTCCCCTTCGAAAGTGGCTTTGTGAGTTCGAATACCAAGCCTCTTTTATCATTCCCCTTAAGAAATCCTTCCGGGAGAAACGATGGCACCGCCCCGACATAGAATGGAATTGATGAGGTTTACCCAGATCTTTATCTTCTATCCATGAAGAGCTCGTGACTCTGCACCCGCATGAGTGAAGGGAAATGCTAGTTTCTGTATTTCCAGGTTCACCCATGAAAGTAGAAAGATTCTTGTTGCTTTCCCCTTTCCTAATAGGTCAGGACCGCCCCTTTCTGAAGACTTGCAAGTGAGGCGGAATGGGATTCATGCAGAGAGGCTAGAGTGGAATACTTGTAACGAGCCGGAGAGGAGACTGTGGCACTGACTTTCGGAATGCGCAGGGGAGAAATCCCAAAGAAAATGCAAAGAAGAAGCTCTTAGATGTTTATCTAGTCTGGACATAAAATCCTTCCGGTCAGCAAAAGAAAAGGAAAAGGTTTAGCATAGCCCAGAATCCACTCTTCTTGATTGAATCCCCTGAGAAGTTGTTGTACCAATTGCAACAGTCTTAAGGCCATTAGTTGGAGTGCTAAGTGCTGCTTTGCCTATCTATTCTATTCTGCTACTTTTTTCTTACATCCAGTGCTACATCTAGAGGTCCAGTCCCCTGGGTCATTTGATATCTCTAGTCTGAGTTCCATTCAACAAGCCAGTTCTGTTAGATCACTTACAGTCCCCGTAGTGTCCAGTAGCTGTCTCTTTTTCTTACCGGCAAGCGGCTTGAAAAAAAAGTTAAGATATCTCCATCCGGTGGGAGTTGCTATCCATATAGTTCAATGGCAGTTCTACTTGCAGCCATTGAGAGTTATCTTGCATCCGCTTTCTATCCAGCAGAGTCAGGGGCAAAAGGATCTGACGCAAGTTGGAGCTAAGGATCGACAGAAAGCTAGGGTTTTTTGTGCTTATCCCTTCTTATCCGGAACTAAGGAGTTAACGATATATCGCTTAAGGAGATATCTAGCCAAGCGATTCACCTGATCCAGACACGCCAATAGGCGGCTTTGAAGATAGTAAGTAAGATTAGTGGAATTCTCATCAAAAGGATAAGTAAGTTCACAATTTAGTGATAAAGTGAAAAAAGGTGCTTTTTTCTGCGCATATTCCCTGGTTAGGATATGCATATAATATTATAGGTTACAGTTTCTAATCTATAGGATTGATTATGGCTTCTGTAGGACTACTAACTAGACTATTCTCTTCTCTCCGCTAAAAACATAGGAAGGAAATCTGTGCGAAGGCTTTCTGTGGGTAAGGCAAAGGTAGATGTAAGATTGTGATATGTGTCTTACCTTGGTAATTCCTTTATTTACCTAGTGGGTCTAACTAGATTTTCTGTCTAAGGAAGAGGAGAATCGCCCTAAAGAGCCTGCCTATATCGGAGGAGTCTCCGGTACTGATTTCCTTGTTTTCGCTTCTGGGCTTAACCAAGCCAGGGCGAATAAGGGATGCATTCATTTTCATTATGAGTGTAAACCCTTAAGAGCCGTCGGCCATAAGACTTTGGGAATCAAGAGTGCTCCAGTAGCATTGGTGGAACAATCGAAAGACCATTATGAGGATTGGGAAAAACCTACATATGGAAGATGATATGCCACAAGAATCCCCCAAGATGACAACAGATTAAGACCTAGGATCAATGCCCCCAAAACAGTCCCTGAACTACCGCCTTCAAATTTCCATTCCCATATCACATAAGGCAGACTAATCAACCAGGTCTGGTCTTACCTAGGAAGGACACCTCTCTTATTTCAGTCATACCTCGTCCCAGAAGTAGAGAGGAGTCCATCTCAATCAAAAGGAAAAGAAATATGTACTACCTTCACTCTTTCAGAACCTCTCCTACTAAGTCGTACACCTTTTGCCCAAATCCATTCGCTATTGAGCAGATAGAGTCAGACTTTCTTCGTAAGGAATCAGACTAAGAGGATTTCAATTCCATTTCCATAGAGCAGATCCAGTAAGACAGTATACTTTCGTGCTCTTTCTATCTATTTACAATGACTGAGAGTCGCTCAAGCGAGCAGGCACGTATAGGGCAGTGCCTTCTACCTTCCTAAAATAGGAAAAGACCAGTCCTTCTACATCTCAAGGGCATGCATGCCCTATAGACCTAGTCTATCAGCTATAGCTGCAGCTATGACTGACCAATAAATTGAAAGCTCTAACTAAAAAAGAAGTCCCAGGGCTTATTCCCTTTTCAAGGTCTTGTAGCCAGACTGATCCATTCATCTATATCTTGTTTTGCCCCTTTGGCTCTCCCCAATCCAAGATCTTATTGAAAGAGCCACAGCTTCTTCAAATTAAATAGCAAAGGATATTCACCCGGCTACTCAATCTTCTCTCTTTCACTCCTTCAAGGCCTCTTTCAAGCTAATAAGACTCCTTTCAAGGTTATCCATATTCTTATCTGCAGATCGGAGTCGTTCACTGCCAAAGGCGGGGAAAGCTAAGAGAGAAAGGCCGGTAGGAAAGCAAACGGTGGTCCAAGGAAGACTCAGACTATAAGAAGAAGGGGCTTTCAAAGGCTCTGTCTTTCGACACTGAATCTTTTGACAGATAAGCATCTACGAATTCATATGGGCACGAGAACCGATCCTCATGAGGAGATCCCCTAACGAGGCCCCAAACTAGCGAGACAACGAAGGATTTGAGCCTTGTTGTGATTCCCCCTTAATCAACCTTTCATCTTTGTTCTCCTCTACGCAGTTTGACGACTTCCTTTGAGGAAATGATTGGACACCAACCAGATGGCACATTCCGAACGGAGAATCCAGCCTAATTAGTGATTCCCTTTGGTGGGACTAATCCAACTATAGATTTGACTCTTGAGTCGGTAATGCCGCTGGTGGGGACTAATCCAACTCTTTTCCACTAAGTAGCGGTGAAAACCTTAGTCATAGTATTTTTAGAGGAAAAGAAAGCCAGTAGGGAGGAGCAAGTCTCCCAGTTTTTGTGTTATGCCAGTATTCTGCTTTAGGTCTGACGGCTTTAGGGCCCCTTGAAAGGGACTTTTCATTGATAGATCGAACCAAAGATCGGAGTAACCGCCTCCCGCTAAAGCAATTGTAGAATCTCCGTCTCTAATTAATGTAGCGACTTATAACATCCCCCTCGGGTGACTTAACTACCTGAATTCCTTACAACTCGTGCCCCATGCCGGTAGTTGCCTTTTCGAGACCAATCCTTTTACCTATTTTTATTCTTTCTGTTTAAAACTTTTTTTTCATAAAACTTAACATTTTTCACAAACCTTTAATTTTTTGTAATAAACTCGAATAATTAATTTTAGGTTTTAATTTAATTTTAGATAACTTTAATTGTTTTATAAATAAATTAAAATTAATTAGAACAATTAGGATTTTGTTTCTAACTTAATTCTATTTTCTTTTTTTCTTAAAATAACAAAACACAAAAATAGGCCATTTAATTATTTTTTTTAACTAATTTAATTTCTAATTAATTTTGTATTTAATTTTTAAAAACTTAATTCTTTTTTCTTAGAAATAATTAAAAACAACAAAAAAATAATTTTTCTTTCGATTAGGTTAGACGGGGTCAAAACCCTAATTCTCTCTCGTTCTTTATTCGCGCGCGTTTTATTTTATTTTACCATATCAATGTAATTTCTCACAAGTTGTTATAGATTAATTAGGACTTTTTTACTTTCATTTATCGTTTTTTTTAAGGGTTTGTTTTTGGCTATGTAAATACCCGAAGCCTTGTAATAGCTTAGCTTATTTTCCGTATTTTATTTTTGCAAACTATAAACTGCTTAGATGTATGGCTAATAGGATTGTATGGCAAGAATGTCTAGAAAATTAAAACGGTAGATCACCTAATGTGCTAAGATTAAATAACTGAAAACAATCACATGCACATGCTCACTCTTAGGGTATACCTCACTTGGTTGCCTCGGAAAATAATGGTCATGTCCCTCGAACGTAGGGATACCTTAGCAAAGACCCTCGGTTAAAATCATCATAAAGATCATGGTCCCTCAATGTCCCTCGAGTTGCCTACGAGAAATGATCTTGTCCCTCGATGTTGCCTACGAATATATGATGACAGTCCCTTCGAAATGCTAAGGTATCTTTACATGTTGCCTTCAATGACCATTACGTCCCTTTCGAATTGATCTTTACAAATTCCAACGACGGTGCTACCTACTCACTAATAGTGGGATAGCGCTGTCTAAAGGAAATAAGAACATAAACGATCTTTTTTTGAGTAGGTAGATGCTAGTAGGTACTTGCTCAAAACCAAATTTTTCACACTTACACTCTTTTCAAACAAAGTTTTCAAAACGACTTCGTAACACTCTTGAAGACAGAAGCAAGGGTTAAATCGAAGTAAAACAAAAAAATTTCAAAACACACAAACACGGAAGCAATTTTTAAATGATGAGCAAGTACCTAAGAGCCCGTAGAAAACTACGGATAGAAAGGGTGCTAATACCTTCCCTTTCTATAATCTACCCCCGTACTCAAAATCTCGAAAAAGGATTTTTTCTGTACTTTTTTCCTTTCCGATTGGATGAAATAAAAGTCGGTGGCGACTCTTGCTTACCGCGACATTTTGCAAAATGCAAAACGCAAACCAGTATTAAACAGTCTGGTTCTGCCACCATATCACAAATATCAAGCAAGAGGTTTCTGAACTCCGTAGAGAGATGACTAATTTGAAAGCTAGTATGGAGCACTTAGCTGGTTTGGTTGAAATTTTGGTTGGCGCCCAAGTCAATCCTTCTAGGAAGGAAGAAGCGATGGTAAAGGTCTTCACTGAAACTCTGAAATCATTCTTTCATGAGAAGATGATAATTAATGCGCCTAGTGACTTTCTTAACAAGGTGAATATGGGAGTGCGTCTCAAAGAAGATGTCTAAAAGGGATGTTTATATGAATATGGTGGCTTAGCTAGTGGTGTGAAGAAGTTTAATAATAACTTTTCTAAGAAGAGATTCAGAGGAAGAAATAATCATCGCCAGAATCATCATGTTCCTCCTATCATCCATGCATTCAATTTACCTTCTGCAGCTTCAGTTCATCAACAGAATCAGCAAGTTCCTAATCATAGGAAATCTCGGTTTGATCCAATTCCAACAACCTATACGAAGTTATTTCCTTTCCTGAGGAAGAGGAATTTGGTTCAGACCCGACCTTCACCGAAGGTTCCTGAGAAGATGTATTGGTACTACAAAGCTGATTTGACTTGTGCCTTTCATTAAGGTGCTCCTGGGCATGACTTAGAGGGTTGCTTTGCTTTGAAGATTGAGGTTCAGAAGTTGGTCAGAAATGGTATCTTGTCATTTAAGGATATTAGTATTGAGGTTCAAGTCAAATCTTTGCCAAAGAATAAACATGATTGAAGGATACCTTGGAGTTTAAAGAAGAGAGTCTTCTCAGTTTAATTAGCATTTTTTCTTGCTTGTTCATTTGTAATTTTTCTTGTTTATCATTGCATTGTTTGCATGTAAGAACTTGTTTGCATTTGAATGATTATCTTAATACAGTGAGTATGTTTGTCTTGAAGAAATTCATTCGTTTCACTCGTATTTGTTTTCAAATTTTAAATTGCTTTTTGCATTATGATACCAACTTGTTGCTCATTGTCTTACCTAGGAAGAGATTGAAGGGAGGATGATGATCTGAAAAACACAAAATCTCTGGTTGTATGCTTTTTGAATAAAATCTTGCTGACAATGTACATGCATTATTTCAAATCCCTAAACACCGGAGATATAAGGAAGATAATCCCTTGCTAACCCCTTTTGAGCCTTGAAGTAGGAGTTTCTTTTCTATACAAAAAAACCCTCAAATTTTAACCAGGGGCAAGGTAGTTTTCAGTTAATCTGATTGAGTGTTCAAAATTAATAAGGAAGATATTCTTGAAGAGAAATTGCGATGGTTATCCTTCATATATCATGAGGCCAGAAGATGTGGAACCATAATGTTATCCCTCATTCATCAAGAAACGAGGCAGTCACAATCCTCTCAACAAGTAAAGACAAGCTAATGTCACACATTTTATTCAAAAATCAAAAACCAAGAAGAAAAAAAGCCTTCTAAGTCAAAAACTGAAGAAAAAAAATGTGCGGCTTAGGAAAAAATTAGGACATCCCGCTGGACTATCAATTCAAAAGAATTAGTTCAGGAAAAAGTTAGGGAAAATAAAATTGCAAAGAAAGGAATACAAAGAAAATTCATCAGTAAAGAACAAATTGGTTTGACTACAAACACGAAGACATAAGGGTGGATGCTACTCCGAAAGCCCCGTTGTTTCCTTAACCATCACAAAATCCTTTTGAGAGATGAACACTCATGTTGAATTAACTGAACATAGGATTGGAGAACATCGCGAAGAATGGGTGGGCACCTATAAATTTTGAGCTTTAAAAATCTTTTTTTTCTAAAAACCATGAACCAGACCATGTTACAACCTTCAAAAGTCCTAATTAAAGCAAGGTTATTATGAAAGAATACTTCAATAAGATAGTGTTCCTGACTCCCATGAATGTTTGCTAAATAGTTATGTTGGTATCATATGCTTTTGCTATACAAAAATAAATGGTGCTCTAACTCGGGAAATTT